TAGGCCAAGGTCCGGAGCAACGAAGATGGCATGAGCGAAATGATTGACGATCTCACAAGTGCATGTGGTCACCCAATGTAGGGGGGGAAGTGTTATCGGCCGAGCCTCTGTTTGACCCCCCGAGTACACCCAATGTAGGGGGGGAAGTGTTATCGGCCGAGCCTCTGTTCGACCCCCCGAGTACTATGTAGTAGGTGAATTCCCCGAGGTGGTGTTGGTAGTTACGTGATAGTTGTGTGGGAAGCGTCCCACCTAGTGGTGTAGCGTGGACATTGTGTTGTGTTGAATATGACGAGCATCGCAGACGTGTGGACGAAAGCCTGATGTGCGAGAGGTGTATGGGGTGTTGCGGGAAGAATAGCGGATTGTATGGTGGAGTTGGTTGGTGGTATGGGCAACACCAACCAACACCACCATGAGGTAATATCTCCGTCACAACGAAATTAGATTCACACACAACCGATTTGTCTACAGTAACCCCTCACGTCATTATGACTACCTCGTAGTGTTGATGGTTATAATTGCAGCGATGTGCAACCCCTGCATAGTTTACACCATGCACGGCTCTTCGGTACCCTCCACAGTAATTCTACTCCACAGCATCCCCCCACGCTACATACTGTAATTGTTAAAGTGAATTCTCTAGAAGTATGCGATTCAGTGTGTAGATTGCATATTTGAGTGCGCTAGCGGTAGAATACAGAATGCGCATTGTCCATAGGGCTGGGGGGGCAATTATTGTAGAGGGTTCTACAGAGGGGTTGTATACTTTTCGGTTTCGTACATCAAAGGGGGTGTACTGTACATCGCTACAATGGCAGCGATCAAAGCTGAATGACAGCATCGGTGGTGGTGAGCATCTCCGTTCTACATGTGCATACCTAGTGCTCAATTTCCAAACTTGTACCTACTTGTCGTTAAGCCCCAGAATTACTACGTAGTAGTGTTATCGGCCGAGCCTCTGTTCGACTCCCCGTGACTGAGTGTGGGTAGCCGAATGTTGGTCACGAACGACATTTGAAGAGTGTGAAATATGACCTGGATCGGAGCGGCATATGTTCCGAGCTGTTGAACTGTACGATGCATGACTTGTAGAGAGCAGTGAAGTGATAGGAGGGGGCTGACTGATTCATTGGATAATGAAGTTACTTGTAGTACGAGTAGTATTGTATGTTCTTCTCAAAATTTCCATGGGTGGTTCTTAAATCGCTTCGATCCGAATGTCCGCGAAATGACCCGAATGACAAAAAGTGGTATTTCTCTCACAAAACAAGCGTTACTAATCACTCTATTATGACGCAGTTTCCTGACCTGTGTCAATGGACATCCCATTTTGTTACACCTGAGCCCGTAGGCCCCGCCCCGTAAGCGAGTTTCTTCGTATCCCCAGCACACATGCACACCAATGTACAGTACACACAAACATCGCAAGTACTGTACACCAACTGGACGCCCGCGCTACCACAGCGCACGACTACACCTCATCGTACTGCCCAGGCAGTTGTGGAAAACTGAGTTGGATGTCCATGTTCTAACCTATGAAATCATCGCGGCTATTTGTCGGGGATTTTCACAATGGCTCACAATTGGCAAGTTTAACCAGAAAGCACAATATTGCTCTAAGTATTACACAGCCCGAGAAAAGCGTCCTCAAAGTTGGTCCACTTTCGATGTATACGCATGTCGACATGTCACACCACAAAACATGCACATGCGCAATAAGCATATTGCATCCGCAAATGTAATGCAGTATCCGGAACTTCTCAGTTTTCAGTGCGAAACGGTGCGAAGTTTCTGAATGCAAGCACTACATTTGCAGTCAGCGATAGAAAGCGTGTCAGTACAACACCCAATGTCCCTGTCCGACAAGTTGAATGACTGCGAAGAAACTCCAGATGTTGCTTTCGCCAACCATGAATGCCTCGATTTTGGCCATCCATAACTTCGTGCTGTGATTAGTTTTCGTCCAATTTTCTCATCTCCCAGGTATTTCATTGGCTAGAATATTTTCCTTGGTCCACCCTTGACCATAACCAAAACCTGGCCATGGAGAATGGTGATGGACACTGGAGTTTTGGTATAAAAAATGGGAGTGAAATAAACACTAATGTATTTGCTTTATCGTGAGCTATGTAAGCGGACAGCACACAGCACCGCAGCCTACAGTCTATCCACGGTCTAGAAACTGCACCAGAGCATCATACAAACAACGGAGTCCAACAATCAGTGCAAATAGCAATCAGTTGACTTACCGGCCGTGCCATCGTTTCCGCCGGACAGTTCACGTCTACAGGCATCTTTTGCGATGCAGGTCATCGGTCTCAGTGTGGCTTTTGTGGTCCACTGACCACATCAAAGAGTGCACGGCCTATCACCATTTTAGCTTGCGAAAAACAGGGGTTCTCAAAAGTGCCGATGGACTATTCTAATTGGCTTATTTTTGAGCGCTTCCCATTCTTCATTCTCCATACATGGTCCTTGTACTCCATTATTAACTTTGAAATCACCTAATAATGGGGAGTTTCAAAGTTAAAAATGGAGTAACGTTAATACAGTTCGCGCCACTAGGTATCCATTATTTTGCGAATAAGTTTTGAGAAAATACGAAATTGTTGACACAGAACATACCACAAGATCGGTCATGATTGGTCGCACATTTTCGTTCTCGACTCAGTTCATAATAGTCAATTGTTGTCTGCGCCGGCTTGCACAACCAGCTACGGTAGACTTCGATGACAAATCCAAAAGTGTCTTCATTATCATTCAGGTTATGTGCCCATCAACCAGCGAATCACTTCGCTGTAATCCAGGCATCACAGTCAATACACTTACAGTGTACCGAGGGAGGTTCGGTAAGTCCTAGCCTGGGCCTAAATAGGATCCACCGAGGGACTAATTAGTTTCTCCCTCGGTGAGTCTAAAAATAGAACCTGACTGAACTCACTGTCAACTGCACACACACTTGCACGGGTAGTTGATCCGAGGCACGGCCGAGAACATCAATAGTGATGGAATTATGTCGCGAAAACAATTAAAGCAATTTGGAGGTGCAGTCACCGTTTAATTACGTCTTTATAGTTAAACGTGTGGGTTTAGGGTTTTGACTTTCGCACCTCCAAATTGGTTTTCGCGACATAATTCCATC